GCAAGCACGTGTAATGATTAATTTGTCCTGAAAATTTGGGATGCATTCGCGGCCAGTACAGCTACTGGAAAAGTCTGTTAATGTGTATAGGGATGGAGCATAAATCCTCCACATCTCAATGAAGCTCTCCTGAATGTACTTCCAAAGCCTTTGCAAAAGGTTTCTGGGGAGGGCGGCCTTATTCCATCCTCCATAGTAGGACACTTTACCACGCCAGGCCAGTAGCACGTAGTCTGGAATCATTGCATAACAAAGCATGGCTGCGTATGGTCCCGGTGTTTGCTGGCATTCAAGCAACATCCGTTCTTTATCTCTCTGTGTTATCCTCAGGAGAGTGATACAATTTATGGTCACCTGGTTGAAATAGGGGAATTTTATTAAGGGGACATTCAGAGGCAGCCATTCCTGCTGGGCTGTTTGCCTGTGGCTGAACAGAAATCATCTCCGCTGTGCGCCACGTGGGGGAGGGAGAGAAGAGGGGTGAAGCGATCATCCCAGAGAATAGGGAGAGAATAGGGTGTGGGGGGGGAGGGGGTTTGTTGGGTTTGTGCTGCATATTAACCTGAAAATCGCAGCCCCTCCTTTTAAATGGCCAACCCAACGGGTGCTTGGTATGGGAAATGAGGGCGCTGCTCTTTGAAACCATATAATGTTAACAGCTTGGTTCACCGTGAAAGAGTCTACCCATTCTTCTCTAAAATGTGTCTTTTTAAATACTACTCTCCCTTTTTTTCCTCCTGCAGCTGCAAATGTTTCAATGCTCCCTGTATCATCTGTGTCCCAGAGGCTAGCAAAGATTAGAAGGCGAAAAAACCGCACTCGTGATGAAATGTTCTCTGAGCTCATGCAGTCCTCCCACACTGAAAGAGCCCAGCAGAATGCATGGAGGCAGACACTGTCAGAGTGCAGGAAAGCACTAAATGAACGCGAGGACATGTGTCAGGATCAAGATGATAGGTGGCATCAGCGGGATGAGAGGAGGCAGGATGCAATGCTGAGGCTACGAGAAGATCAAACTGATATTCTCTGGCGTATTGTTGAGTTGCAGGAAAGGCAGCAGGAGCACAGAGCGCCGCTGCAGCCCCTGTGTAACGAACTGCCCTCCTCCCCAAGTTCCATAGCCTCCTCGCCCAGACGCCCAAGAATGCGGTGGGGGGGCCTCCGGGCACCCAACCACTCCACCCCAAAGGACTGCTAAGCAACAAAAGGCTGGCATTCAATAAGTTCTGAAGTGCAGTGTGGCCTTGTCCTTCCCTTCTCCCCCACCCCTCCTGGGCTACCTTGGCAGTTATCCCCCCATTTGTGTGATGAAGTAATAAAGAATGCATGAATTTGAAAAAACAATGACTTTATTGCCTCTGCAAGCGGTGATCAAAGGGAGGAGGGGAGGACGGTTGGCTTACAGGGAAGTAGAGTGAACCAAGGGGGTGGGTTTTCATCAAGGATAAACAAACAGGACTTTCACACCATAGCCTGGCCAGTCATGAAACTGGTTTTCAAAGCTTCTCTGATGCGCAGCGTGCCCTGCTGTGCTCTTCTAACCGCCCTGGTGTCTGGCTATACGTAATCAGCAGCCAGGCGATTTGCCTCAACCTCCCACCCCGCCATAAATGTCTTCCCCCTTACACTCACAGATATTGTGGAGCAAACAGTAATAACAATGGGAACATTGGTTTCGCTGAATTTTTAAACATCCAAAGGCACATTCTACCACCATTCTGCACTTGCTCAGCCTATAGTTGAACAGCTCCTGACTACTGTCCAGGGTGCCTGTATATGGCTTCATGAGCCATGGCATTAAGGGGTAGACCACACAGACCAGAGTTCCTAAAAATGCGAGTGTCATGTACTTTTCCCGGCCATCCCACGCTGATGTTGGTGAAACGTCCTTTGTGATCCACCAGTGCTTGCGGCACCACTGAAAAGTACCCCTTTCGGTTTATTTACTGGCTGCCTTGGTGCTCCGGTCCCAAGATAGGGATATGCGTTCCGTCTATCGCCCCACCACAGTTAGGGAATCCCATTGCAGCATTTCCCAGAGACACTACCCTTGATGATAGCAGCTCAATGATCGCGTTGGCTACTTGGATCACAGCAGCTCCCACAGTAGAATTGCCCACTCCAAACTGATTCCCGACTGACCGGTAGCTGTCTGGCGTTGCAAGCTTCCAGAGGGCTATCGCCACTCGCTTGTAAACTGTGAAGGCTGATCTCATCTTAGTATTCTTGCGCATCAGGGCAGGGGAAAGCAAGTCACAAAGTTCCATGAAAGTGCCCTTACGCATGCAAAAGTTTCGCAGCCACTGAGAATCATCCCAGACCTGCAACACTATGCGGTCCCAACAGTCTGTGCTTGTTTCCCGGGCCCAGAATCAGCGTTCCACGGCACAAACCTGCCCCATTACCACCATGATGTCCAAATTGCCAGGGCCCATGTGCGCTTTGAGAGAAGTCTGTGTCCATGTCCTCATCACTTTCGTCACCATGCTGCCGTCGCCTCCTCGCCTGCTTTTGCAGGTTCTGGTGTTGCATACACTGCAGGATAATGCGCGTGGTGTTTACAGTGCTCATAACTGCCCTGGCGATCTGAGCGGGCTCCATGCTTGTGTGGTATGGTGTCTGCGTGTAAAAAAGGCGCGAAAAGATTCTCAGCCGTTGCTCTCACTTTGGGGTGTGTGGTGCTGATGACATGTACCCAGAACCACCCATGACTATGTTTTTGCCCCATCACGCATTGGGAGCTCAACCCAAAATTCCAATGGGTGGCGGAGACTGCAGGAACTGTGGGACAGCTACCACATTGCAACACTCCGAAAGTCGATGCTAGCCTCGGTACTGTGAACGCACTCTGCCGACTTAATGCGCTTAGTGGGGGGGGGACGGGGACAACACACAATCGACTGTATCAAATCAATTTCTAAAAAATCGACTTCTATTAAATAGACCTAATTTTGTAATGTAGACATACCCTTAGAGATATTGACAAGAAATATAAATCCTTTGTTCTTAATGCCACCAGAAATTAGTAACATGATTTTTTTTACAACTCTATATTAACTTCAGTTTAGAGCAGTGGTTCTCAAACTTATTAGATCAGCCTGCCCCCCCCCTTTGTGTCTGTAGTCATTTACACCCCTCTCCTCACAAAAGTACCACCACAGAGCTCTGAAAGCAGAGTGGAGAGCAGCAGCTGCTCGCTGGGCACCCAGCTCTGAAGGCAGCAAAATGCCAGCAGTAGCACAGAAGTAAGGGTGGCAATTTGAAGAGTGATATTTGTCTATATCACTTTTCACAGCAAACTTGGCACCCCATTGCCATCCTTCTTCTACGCTGCTGCTGCCACCCTGGGGCTAACAGCTGGAGTCCCCTGCCTCCAGGCAAAGGATGAGTGTGAGGGGAAGGAAAGCCTGATCCCAGGCTGCCTTCCAGCGAGAGATTGGGAGGGACAAGAGCCAGGGGTGGCAGGGCTCCAGCTGTCCCCTTTATCCTGCCTCCCAGGTTTGCACAGCCTTTCTGCACAAGCCACAACCATCTGGGGCTAACAGCCAGAGCTCTTTAAAAAAAAAAAAAGCACAGTTTGTCTCTCTAAGGAGGTCCACCCCATAGTCTGAGAACTGCTGGTTTAGAGAAAGAATTACAGTAGCCAGTTTTGTTTTTGAGCCAGCATATTTTGGTTGTGATGCACTAGCACAAACAAGTTAATGACAGAGTCAAGACCAGAATTCAGAGTGTTGATTCTCAGTCTATGCCTTATCCAGAAGATCATCATCATAATAAACAGTCCTAGTTAAGGTGCTCAGTGTTGTACAACTTAAAAATTACTATAAACAATTGAAATATTACATGTGTATATAACTGGTAACTACAAAAAAAGAGAGACCAATTTCTATATACATTTTAGTGAAGTTAGTTATAAGTATTTAAACATTTATTGCAGGGTGGTGAACTAGAGCTATGTGAAACTGTCAGGTTATAATGATCAGGGTCCATCTAAATGTTTGTTTCAGTTTTGTGTCTCAGAGGTGTACACACACCAGGAGTTTTTGTTTTGAATTAATCCTAAAACTGAAAGTAAATCCCAAAAAGGAAGTTTGTCAGTTCAGCATTAAGCAAACCTGTGAATCCTGCATGGTTTTATTAGACTTAAGTCAGCCAGAGCCACTCGCAAAGTTCATAAACCATTCAAAGACTTTGGTTTGCGGCTGTAACAAACCAGTAAATGATTCAATGGCAAAGATTTCCCAGCTGTAAAATGGGGATATTTACCTAGCTTCCAGGGGTGGTGTTAATAAATTAAGGCATATGTTACTAAACTGCTGAGACCTTAGACTATAACAGTATTATTACACAAATCCTACATTTTTAGCCTAAGCGAGGCTGACAAAGGGTCCCTTTACATTCCAGTTTAGGCAGGTTTACAAAGAGCCAACAGGCTGGGAGCAGAAGCTACCCTCCCTTTCTCCCATTAGCGGGCTGGAGAGAGCGTTCATCCCCAGATGTGGCTTCCATGCCTGGTTTTCAATGATGCCAGTTGAGGTTATTAGTCATTTCAGCTTGTCAGGCAGCTGCCCCATAACCCAAACCTCCCTTGTACAAACAGTGCGCCACCTCCCCGGCCCCCCATTACCCAGCTCAGGGGCTCCCAGCCGGCCAGCACAAACACGCGCTTCCCCGCTCACCCCGATCGCGCCCTGCTCAGGTTAGAGGTTTAACTGCTGTTTATCGCACGTTAACGACGATTGCTCAGCACGGGCCAGTGACAGGGCACGTGACGGGCTTACCGCGGCACCTCACGTGCACCCCTGCTCAAGTTCCCCACTTCCGCCCGGCCCGACAGCTCCCGCAGGGGCTGGCTCTGCAGACGACCCGGGCACACGGAGGCCCTAGGTCCGGCTGCTCGCAGCACTTCAGCGCTCTGTCGGGGGAAGCCCTCGGCGCAGGGGTTCTGGCAGCGGCCCCCTCCCCCCGGCCCGGCCGGGCCGGGCCGGGCCGCTCCGTACCTTGCGCTGGGCGCTTGTGTCATACTTGTCATTTTTGAAGACTCGCGAGTTCTGATGTCTCTGGGGCCGTGAGCGGGCAACATTCCCCCTCTGGGAACTCATCCTTCCGCACCGGGAGTCAACGGCGCCGCACGTGGCTCCCTGGCCCGCCCCCTGACCCGGAACCTCTCGCCCCACCCCACTGCCGTCCTCGTATCCCGATTGGCTGCGGTGCCAAAGGCTATCGAGCTCTCCCATTGGCCGGGGCTCAATGTCAATCGGCTGCTTTGTATGCCGGGATTTGCTCCCCTCTGGATTTCTTGTGCTTCCTCATTGGCCCTAGTCGGGCTGCAATCTCATTGGTGCGTTGTGGCCGGCTGCCGGTCAATGAGGGCCTGTCCCCAGCCTACCGCCCCTTGGCCGCTGAACCGCCCTCTGCTCTGCCCAAATCTAGATTAATTCAGTCCAGTCAGGGAGGCGGAGGGGACGGAATCTGGCGAGGGCCGCTTAGAAGCCCGGCCCTCGTCCTCTTAGTGTCCCGCCGGGGGTGCGAGCGACTCGGGCTCCGCGCGCTGCTGCAGGCCGCCGCGCTGACAGAGCCAAGCGGAGCCGTTACTCAGCACGTCCCCGGCGTTCGAACGGCGGCGGTTGGGGGGAGGCCTGACGGGGCCGCAGCCCCCAGAGGGAGCCGGACGCGGCCACGCTTCGGGACCAGCGTGAGACGGAGGCAGGTGCGTGCTCCGACCCCACTCACTGATCGCTCCCGCAGTGCGGGGCCCAGGTCCCTGCGGTGGGGGAGCTCTGTGCGCGGGGCTCGGGCTGGGCGGTCCGTGTCCGCGGGGGAGTTTGGTCTCTGGGCTAAGTGGGGCAGCGGGCTCACCGCCGGGGCACAGCGAAGGGGTGGGCTGGTGGCGCGTCGCTAGCGCCCCGTGCCGGGCGGTAGAGTGGGCGAGTTGGTTTCGTCTCCCTGCGGCCGGGGGGTCTCGGGGGAACGGTGAATGGGGCTCTGCGGGGAGGTGCAGAGGCCCCGGGCGAGGGTGAAGGGGGGCCCGGCTTTGCAGCTCTATGCGATCCCTAGGTGCTCCACGGGCTGTTGTCTCCTCTCTGCGGCCCCGGGGGCGGATGGAGCCGATCCAAAGGGGCCCAACCTCCCCCTTTCTTCTCTTTGGCCGGCGGAACTGGGGAGCCGACTGCCTCCACCCTCTGGCGTGAGCCGCAGCTCCGACAGTTATGCGGAAAGATTCTAAATCAATATTTGAATCGCAGCTGCTGCTTATCTCATACGCTCGTGGGTGGGGGAATGAAATGTAGCTAACACAGGGCGAGGTATTTCTAAACTGTGTCTGTTTTGGGATGGGGGTACTGTATTGTTTTAGTACCTTATTTCTAAGTAAATTGAGCTATGAAACGTGCTACTATGCGTGGAGAGAAGTCAAATACTTTATTTTTAAAATCCGTGAATTGGGAGAATGACCATAAAATGCATATCTGATTTTTGTCTTTTAGTAGGTTCAAATAGCTTTTTGTATATATAAGTCGTCTTCTGTTTTTATGGAGTAACGAATAATTGGATGTTTGGAAAATGTAAGATCACTTTTTGGTTGTCCTGATTTGACCAGTTTTTAGCTTGGAAACTAGTATGGACAGAATTGTGGCAAAATAACCCATCTTGCAGACAGATTTCAGTTACTTTCAGAATGATATTTAAAAAATATAACTATTTAAAACTGATTTGTGTTTAAATTTATATTTTTCTTTATTATTTGTGCCTTAAATGGTGTAATGAGGTACCAGTTTGAGTCACTGAATCACCAACAATGCAGTACTTCAGTGGCAGTCAATGTGCAGATTGTTTTAAGTAGAAGAATACTATAGTGCAGTGTCTTGCTTACAGAACACAAACATTATGTAATCTGACTTAATCCCACATTTGTGTATATCTGGGATCTTCTGGGGATTGTTTTTCTGGTTTTTTTTCCTGTCTATTGTTTCCTCTGACTCTTTCTCCTCCCCTCCCCCCCTCAAAATAGACCCCCTAGAGCTGTTTAAAACATATGAAATATCTAGCAAGAGTGGCTGCTGCTGCCAGTTAGGGAATTCTTTATTAGCCTTTTTCTAATACTTTTTAATATTAGTGAGTATAGTAAAACCATACAGCAACAAGAACATAAGAATGGTCATACTGGGTCAAACCAAAGGCCCATCTAGCCCCCTATATTCTTACAGGCCAATGCCAGATGCTTCAGAGGGGAATGAACAGAACAGGGCAGTTATCCAGTGATCAATCCTAGTTTCTGACAGTCACAGTTTTAGGGACACCCAGAGTGTGTGGTTGTGTCTCTGACCATCTTGGCTCATAGCTGTTGGTGGACCTGTCCTTCATGAATTTATCTAATTCTGTTTCAAGCCCAGTTAAAGTTTTAGCCTTTACAGCCTTCCCTGGCAATGAGTTCTACAGGTTGACTGTGTGTTGTGTGAAGAGGTACTTCTTTGTGTTAGTTTTAAAACTTCTGCCTATTCATTTCATTGGGTGACACCAGTTCTTGTGTTATGTGAAGGCATAAATAATACCTCCTTATACACTTTCTCCATGCCATTTATGATTTTATAGACCCCTAACATACCTCCATCTTAGTCATTTTTTTTTCTCTAAATCTTTTAAATCTCTCCTTTATATGGAAGCTGTCTCTCTTGTTGCCCTTCCTGTACCTTTTCCAATTCTAATATCTTTTTGAGATGGAGCGACCAGAACCATATGCAGTATTCAAGGTATGGTCGCACCAGGGATTTATATAGTGATACTATGATGTATTCGGTCTTATCTATCCCTTTCCTAATACCAAGGTTCATTGTCCATCAGCTGTTGACTCCCTCAAATAATCCTAATTGGTAGGCATGGTTTCTGTTTACAAAAGTTATGTTGACTCTTCCCCAACATACCATGTTCATATCTGTGTCTGATCATTCTGTTCTCTACTACAATTTCAACCAATTTTCCTGGTACTGAAGTTAGGCTCACTGATATGTAATTGCCTGACTCGCCTCTGGAGCCTTTTTTAAAAAAAATCAGAGTTATATTAGCTATCCGCAATTCATCTGGTATGGAGGCTGATTTAAGTGATAGATTTTATACCAGAGTTAATAGTTCTGCAATTTCATATTTGACTTCCTTCCGAACACTTGGGTGAATACCATCTAGTGACTTATTAGTGGTTAATTTATCATTTGTTCCAAAACCTCTACTGACACTTCAATCTGGAACAGTTCCTCAGATTCTTCACCTAAAGAGAATGGCTCAGGTGTGGGAATCTACCCACATTCTCTGCAGTGAAGACTGATACAAATAATTCATTTAGCTTCACAGTGGCCTTGTCTTCCTTGAGTGCTTCTTTAGCTATGATGATACTAAATAGTTTTCCATGAATACTTCTATTTAAAGGTTAAAAAAAAAATTAGTCTAATCCTTTATAGTGATCAGTTTTAGTGTAGGCTGTTCATATCTTCCAGAAGTACTTGAAAATAACAGAATAACTACTGTGTGTGTGTATAATATATAATTTTTTTGTTTATTTTATTTGTTTATTTTTAACTTTAGTTTTCATTCTTCCTCCATGTTCTTCTCTGGATCCATTGTGTTCGTTCATTCTTTATAGCTCTGTTGATCTAATGTCCTTTATCTTTTTAATTAGGCACTAATTTCCTATAGTTATTTCTCACTACATTTTGAAATATCTTATCCCCTTTCTTGTAAAATTAGTTTAAGGATGTTTATTCATATATTTTTGTTCCACAGTAATGCATTATGTAACTAGAAAGGGATTTTAACTATTGGATTGTTGGTTCTATGATTCTGAGCCTATCCTGGTGCAATAATACAAGCTTATGCAGTGAAGTTTTAAACTATACTTCAGAATTTTTCTACTTTGTAATAAGAAACATAAATCTTAGATTTTTCTCATTTTTAAATATATTTTGTTTCTTATTGCTCTGAACTTTGAGCACATATCTTAGAAATGGAAATGCTGACAGTGCAAACGTATTTGTACCTTGTTGAACTTCCTTGAGCTCTGTATCTTAACTTGCCTGTGACAAGTACAATGCTTCTCCTGTGCTAAATATCCATACTTACTCCTGGGGGAATTCTGCGCCACTGCGCAAGCACAAAATCAATGTCCCCCACAGATTTTTTTACATCTTCCACCCCCCACAGAATAATTTATTCTGACTGGGAGGTGAAGGGAAGGTAAGAGGGGTCACATTGCAATTACACCTTTTGTTCACCAGGCACTGATGAGGTTCCAGAAGAGAGGGTAGCTGGCTCATGAGCTGGAGCAGCCAGCTGCAGAGAGGGAGGGGGCAGAGGCTGCCTTCCTCACAGCACCCTGCCTGCAGAGACAGGTGAGGAGGCATGGGATATGGAGAGTCACACAGGACTGCTGGGGTCACACAAACTGGAGTTCAGAAGGGCTAGTAGGGGGGAGAGGCAGAGGAGCTAGTGGGGTGACTTTGAGCCTGGGGCTGAATGGGAGTGGGGGTGCAGGCCACATGGGGATGAGGAAGAGTGGGATGCAGAGACGTGGGGAGGGGGTAGCTGAGTTGGGGTGCAGGGTCACATGGGGACATGTGCAGCTATACCTGACAGAATCAGGACCGGGAATACAGGAACACATGGTTACAGCAGTAGATGTGTCTGACTGAATGGGAGAGGTTGGGGGTCAGCCAGGGTCTGCATGGGGGAGGCTCCCCAACTCACTAACAATCCCTCTCTCTCTCACCCTCCCAACCCCCCCCCCCCACCCCCCCCCCCCCCCCCCCCCCCCCCCCCCCCCCCCCCCCAACTGTTCTATACTTCCCACACCCAACAACCTTCCA